AAATTGGACCACTACTGAGGCATCTCTTTTCAACAAAAAGAATATTTTCAAAATTGGTTTACAAAAGACGAAACTTTTATTCATTTTGTATGAAAAAAGCTTTTAATTAAATTTGACCAACTTCTGCTCTCCCGATTTTTTCCTTCCATACAATAATTAAATGACCCTTACATGAAACTAGTCGATCAGCACTAAAAAATATGATCAATTTTATTCATTTTTATGCACAAATAACGCTTGACTTGACAAAAAATGTAGTGTGTCAAAATTGTTTTGTCAAGAAGAGACCTTATGGTTCTTAACACAGTTTCCTTGTATTCCTTATTAGTTCCCCATGTTGTCCCATTTAAAAAAGACACTATATATTTGTCGCACCGATGTCCTACTCTTCCATTTTTGTATTAGTTCAAACTATAGGTTCAAACTATAACTATATAAACAATTTCCATATATGCCATAAAAATTTATGGCATATATGAAACTTGGGGTTTATAAAACACTGTGCCGTGCCTACGCCTGCACTTACTTTATAGGGGAGTGGTAAAACAGGCGAGACATCGATTATGCATTAATCCAGTATCAGTGTTCGAACAAATTTCGCTGCAAAACACGCGATACGAACGATTATAAAAAAAAGTGTGAAACATCTTTTTCTGTCGTTGCCCCTTAGATTGTGATTTATTTTGGATACGAGGTATCATTCGGCAGTTTTGTGAAACCAATGCAATTAATGAACTGTTGTGGAGTTATACTTGTATAATATGTAATGCACAAGGTGGCTGGCACAATACTTTGAAGGGCACATATAAACTCTTGCAACGTGTGCACTTTACCGAATACAACAATCAATACTCGTTTAAAGGTTCTTCTCAAGTGCGAGTGAGTCACCGTCAGTCACGACCGCGTTTAATCATCGTGTTTATGTTTCGAACGTGTGCGGGTTTAAACTCATTAAACCTAAAGACATGATTTTGTAATGGCGATGATTTTTATAGGCTTTTAATAACACATTGCAAATAAGTCAAAATCAGACTACTCAATCAATGATTGAAAAAAAAATTTTCACGCAATATATATAGACGAAACTACTTCCACAAAATATGAGGAAATCATGGGGTTTGTTCGCATTTCCTTTTAAGAGCAAAGGTTCACCGCCACAAGTACAGCCATAAGTTAAAAACAAAAAAATGGTTTCATGGGAAATACAAGCTTAGTGATTTAATGTAACCAAGTTTTAAAGAGATCTGATCATTAAGAGTCGATACTACTTCAGCTCGTTCGATTTGCGCACATTTCGCACACATCGCACATTTTAATCCCCGCACTAATACGGTTCATTCAGCTTGGGTCGAGCGGCAGGGACACCGCTGGCTTTATTTCAGAATTCATTTTTTTACAAACGAAATTAAAGCCGTTTGAAAAATGTATATCGTATACTAAGTACATGTGTTCTATTTAGTGTATTTTTTCTATTGTAAAAATTTTTAGGAATCGTGTTTTCACACCGCATCGTATTCAGAGTATGTCCTCAATTGTACAATATTTTTTTCCAAAGTGATTGATTCAACAGTTTCACTGTCATGTGGTTTCAACCAGTCATTTGAAGTAGTATAGACTCTTAAGAAGAGTAATCTGTTTCTAACCATCAACATTGTCAATCCATTATCCGCCAGTCCGCCACGATGTTCCTCGTTCGGCACTCCAAATGATATAGTGGACAAACACGTCGCCTCGAAACAGACACGTCTGTGTTTTCTAGACTCAATGCCTAGCACTAATTAAGCACTGTAACGACCCAAACGGTCTGATTCACGTTATCATTCAATCGCACTGTTCAAATTGGAACTGTTACAGTTATAGTCGTCGCCAAATAAGAGGCCAATTTGACAGCTAAAGAAGGCGATAATATGTAACTTTGAATGCGATCAAAGAAACAATAAACAAACCATTATTAGCATAATTGAGTTTAAAGAAATACATAAATTTGATTGAAACGTTATACACAAGGCGCACTATAAGATTCCGGAACTGGCCACTTACCTATATAATATTTAAAAAGTAATTACAACATTTGAAAATGGAATTCTTTGGCTATAGAATAAAGTTTGTTTCATCTGACTGTCACTTGTTTTTACATTATGGCGTCATTTTAGAAATTTGTTGTCTACATCACCATGGATTTAACTCGTGAAAATTTTCGTAGTATGATTTTCTACGACCTTAAGTGTAATTTAACAGTTTAGCGGAGCTTCACTCGGCTTCAAACTGCTTTTGGCGATGAAGCACCATGCAAGACGACTATTTATAACTGGTTTGCAGAATACAAAAAGTCGTGTGAATCTCAGTGACGAATTTCGTGAAGGTCTCCCGTCCACTGCTGTGAACAACAAAAACATCGATGCTGTGCGCTGTATTCGGGCATCTCTGAACATAGGCATGTGTCAAATACAATCAATACTACACAAACATTTTGGTGTGAAAAAGCTGTGTTCTCGGTGGACCTCACACAATTTGACTGATGCTAAAAAACGGATGGCGTCACTTGGTGCAATGCCATGCTCACCAGATTCAATGAAGGGCGTCAAATTTAGTGTGACACATAGTAACAGGTGACGAAACATGGATTTATAGTTACGATCCCAAAACAAAGCAGCAATCGAGCGTATGGGTCTTTCGAGATGAGCCGAAAGCAACCAAAATGGCGCGCGTGCAAAGTGCCTCTAAGCGGATGATTTCTTCTTTTTTTAATAAAACTGGACACGTGGCTACTGTTGCTTTGGAGAATCGTTGTACCGTGAATAGTGATTGGTACACAACTATATGTTTGCCGCAAGTTATTGACAAACTCTTGCACCACGATAACACCAGTTCTCACAAGGCCAGACAGACAATTTTTGAAGGTGAACAACGTTGACCTTATGAGCCATCCCGCGTACAGTCCCGACCTGGCACCTTGTGAGTTTTATTTATTTCCAAAAATTAAGAACCAGTAACGCGGTCAACGATTTTTATCACTTGAAGAGGCTGTCGAAGAGTATGAAAAATATGTTTCAGAGATTGTCACGGAGGAGTAGTATAAATGTTTTCAAAATTGGTTCATTCGCATGAAAAAGTGCATTAACCCTAACGGAGAATATTTTGAGAAAAAACAATCAATTCCCTTCTGACCATTTATAGTATTTTTTCTTATTCACTCCGGAAACTTACGTGCGCCTCACGTATAATATGACAAAACATATTTGAGTACTGTTTTCGCACGAATTCAATATAAAATGCAATTCTGAGTTACTCCGAAATGTCCTGAAAACAGTACGTCCTAAAGCTATTTTTTTAAATAATAGTGTTGTAAGCAATTAATCGCCGAATTTCACCGAGTCACTTCGATTTCTCGGAAAAAATATTGACTTATTAAATATTAAAACAAAAATGCATAAAAATAGGTGTATTTTAAATAATTATGTATATAGCATATCTCACCACACCTATTGCAAATAAATGTACAATTCATCAAATTTAAAAGAGCCCCGTAAACCTAGCCAGATTTGTATTTCCTTTTCTTTTTTGCAAATTTTGAATTGGCAACACTGATGCCCGCATAACAGAATTGCACGATTTTGCCCTTTAGGCTCCTTGAACAACAATAAACCGAAAAATAATCTAAACAATTACAAGGTCTTAAAGTTTTGAATCGATTTCTCGTGAAAATCGTATAATGTGACTACCGACAAGGAAATCGTGAATGTGTATAAAAAAAAGAGTTGCAGAAAGAACGAAACTCCGATGAGCTTCAGCATTAAAATCCAGCAGAGATCGGACTAAGGCGTCCCGATTATTTCTCGAATCGATCAGCCGTTCAAGAAGTCCGTTATTTCAGTATGCTTATTCGATATGGGCTTTTTAACCTCCCTGAGTATCGTGACTAATGGCGACGATGCTGTTACGTTGCGGCTGTCTATTTTAAATGTTATGGCCCTATCCAAGTAATCGATGATTTCGCCAATGTCAATTTGAGGAACACACACGTTTTCACTTGACATGATTGTGTATGTAAACAATCAATCAACATGACAACAAGAAAAGAAATAAAATATAGAGTGTTTCGTACACCGAGTCCGTATCAGTGACAATGCAAGAGGATGATAGTTTGCAGTTGCCTGTGACTTCAGGACCAAAGTTAAACCGATTTGAAAAAACCGGGTTACCACCGGTATTATCGCTTTTATGTTTCGAATGCCAAATCTGTCTAAGCATTCAATGTATCCACCCATACACCCTGCCAGCAGATTGCACTTAAATACTTATAAAATACCCAATATAAATATTTGAAGTATTATTATACAGCGAAACGAGTGGCATTTCCCAGGCGAATTCTTTTACTGGTAATAAAATAACATTTCCGAGAGTGATGTAATGATAGATAATTTTGAAAGCTTTACGTAATTATGTTTTAACTTGTTTTAGCGAGCTTTGTCTACGAAATGTGGTAACGTAAAACAATACGGGAATACGATGATCACTTGAGCTACTTTCATATGGTTTCTTTGGAAAAACGTAGGTGGATGAGTGATTTAAGTTCACTGCATAAAATTGCCAATGAACGTCTGACGGTGACTTACTAGAGATGTTGCTGTACAGAATTCCGGCTCAATCTGTGCGTATTCACACAACAAATAGTGTATCACATTACAAAAAACAATGTATCACAAAATAACTCTCTGTATAGGATGTGTGGGTATTACAACGAAATATGTTCTGATTGCGATATTTTTAACTGCGGTGTCCCAATTTTAAGAGGTCACTACTGGCAATGTTTAATGCATTCTTTTTGTTTAATTTTTTTTTGTATAATAATAATTAATTTAACGTCCGTTTAAGTACTTTTGAATGTTGAGCACAGTTATAATTGGACACAGATACTGTATTAAATGTTTAATTGTCTGATGTGCGTTATTGTGCCATAAATAAAAAATACAAATAAAATAAATAAACTAGACACTTACCTTATCGGAGTCTGTGGTATTTCCACTACCGAAGGACGCCAGAGAATTCCTATCTAGATTCTCAGCTGTTTCGTCCAATAACGTGTCTTCCAAATCCCTAGAAAATTGGATTTGTTCATTTTCTATGCTCATGTTCTATGCATTGACAGTAAGAGAAATATTTCGGTATTATAAATAACAACTTCAAAAAATATGTGCTGCGGTTATAATCTGTCGATTTATGATTATCGAAAATGGAATTGAAGTCAAATTATTTGGTTCGATTCGGAAAATATAGACGATATCGTTTAAACAAGGATAAGAATAATCCCGTTTATGTTAGACTGTGGAGTATGGGAACAAAGTAAGAGTATTAAAAACCGCCTACCTGCTGGAACGTTGAGAGCTAGTTGGTCGTACTCTGGCGGGACTACGTGGAGGCAAAACTCCGCTGAAGTAGGTTTCCTGTATGTAAAAATACAAATAAGTAAACAGTAAATGACATCGCAGAGGTAACGACGTAGCTTGGGTTAATCGAAAAGAAGTATTCTTTATTTTTATTACAAACGTATACAAATTTTACCTGAATAACTTCTCGAAGCCGTCGAACCCATGTTTGCTTGACTTCAAGAGAAGGCGCCTTGAGTACGATACGACAATCGCTAGCCATAGGTTCGCGGCCGGTCCACACTGAGAACTTGCACTCGTCTCCTTCGATGTGTTCTGTCACTCCCAGCTCTGATGTCTATTTGTTGACAAAGAATACTCTATAAAATCATTCAACACGAGCGCGACTCCTAATCGAAGCCTGTGAAGGAATACTCACCATAAATTTCGTCTTATAAATGTATTTCGCTTTGCCATGGGAATCTTTAACTTCCTTCGCCAACAGTAAATGTAAATCGAAAAGGAAGACTCTTCGTTCTCTGCCTTTCTTTATAATCTGCCGTAGGTCCCACACTTGGAAGGAATCTTGGAGGACGACTTCGCCGAGGCTGTCAGTGGGGACGTCACAGCCCTCGAGTAGAGAGAGATGCATACAGTCGTTGGCCTTCTTCGGTACTGACAACATGACTTCGAGCCCGTCCTGTTTACAAATGGTGTAGTCTGTTAAAGTAATAATTATAATAACGCACACATTCAACATAGCCCTGCACTAGGGAAAACCCTGTGTCGGGTGCCATGGACACACACATAGACAACTACACATTACACTCAAACTCACGAGAGAAATTACATGTATTTCTGCGATACAAATATTTCTCTCGGCCCGGGAGTCAAATCTGGGACCTCTGCGTGGCAGTCCGGCCGTTGTTAACCGCGCGGCCACGGAGCCAGTTAAAGTATCGTAGCAGTTGTAATCGTACTGACTAAAACAGAATATAGTTCGGTATTCAACATTCTTATTGTCATGACGTTTGTGTGTGACCTTCTGTCCGTCCATATTTTCTGTTTCAACTAAATACAATAATCATCGTGATGTTACACCATTAACCGATAAATGTGCCAGACAATCACTCGCGGAAATTCTTGGACTACGAGTACGAAGGCGTACCAAGGCAACAACAATAAACTCGGAAGTTCTACTCTACATACAAAGGCGAAATAAATGATAAAAGATAAAAAATAAAAACGGTTCACCAACAAAATACTAAAGGCCAGATTGGCAAAAAATCAAAATGAGTTAATATAGCACATATTGAGTCTGAAATATTGACATCATAACCATACCACTTCAGCCTAACTATACCAGTAGTTTCAATACTTCATCAATAGTTAGTACCACGCTTCCTCTCTAAGTGCAATAGCAGTAAGCAGATAACCATGCAGTCGTAAAGTTCAATAGTTTCCTATCGAACGCGAGACGTGAGCCCATCACTCTTTTGACGTCAACTAATAAGTCAAATAGACGCACAAAAGCAAAACAGGAAAACTTCGTATTCATAGATGTTGAAATAAGTAGGCACTTACTCAAGATGTACGCCTAATTTATTAAAGCAGCATAGACAGCTATTCAGAGCACATATTGTCTATATGTGAGTATGTATGCGAGTATATATGCGTGGATTTTGGGATAGTCACCTCAATTCGGGATAATGAAACATTCGCCACACAGAGACAGAGAAATATAAGGAAACTAAGTGTACGTACATTTTTGTTGCTCCTAATTGCCAATGGCTGTATGCGATTGCCGCGCTGATTGGCGATATACTTCAACATGGTTAGCATAAAACTATCTACTCCTTTGGAAACCATTACAATCGGCGCAAGCACCGGCGAAACAATTAACTAGCATTTCACATCGCACTCTCGGGGTGACCACCAGTCGTCCCGCGACCTCGACTACTGTGCGACATGACGGTCCAAGCCAATGACTCACTGTGAGGAAAATATTTTGTAAAATCAACTTTTAACTACTATTACGTTACAGCGCGTTAATTAAGGGGACGTGCAACTCACAATGTATATACAGAGTAATGAAAAACACACTTCTAGAACAGATAGAGCTAATGGGTTGACGCCATCACAAAACGCAAGACATCGTTACAGAACAAGATAAAAACGTCCGGAGTCAATAACGAAGCACTGCTCGTATTATCCTGCATTACTCCATTTTATTCTCTGTGTGGAAGCCAAAGTATTAGCGGTGACGTACACAGTTTCCAAGAAATTTACAATAACCCACATTTATTTATCCAATTTTATTTTAGAAAACGCTATTAAGTTTCCTACAATGACAAAGTAACAAAGAAATGAATATTAGGTACTGTCGCAAATACAATTAGTATAATATTAACCCGATAAATGCACGTACTATACCTGATTGATAGGATAATAAGTCAAGTACCCACAGAAACTGTAGTGAAATCTCGTATTAGAAAGTAAAAGCACGGTTACACAATTTACAGATGTATTTGTTAGAACTTTATAACTTACATAACACGTTCTCGTAGAATGAGTTTTAAATTCTTGTAGACCTTATCTTATCACAAGCAATCGCTGGCGTAGTTTCTTTAGCGATAATACGTACGCGTCCCATGACAATAGTTATTTTTGATTAAGGTTGTGATACTACACAGAAACTTTCTTACATGTAGCATGCCAAAGAATGGACTACATATACACGGAAATATTAAACATCATCGTCATCAAATGAAGTAGTTTTTCAGTTCACTTCATTTCCGAGTAATTGATATAACATTTGTGGCAAACCTATCTTATAGGTATTTACATATTTACAATGAAATTGATGAAATTTCATGAGAAGCGTTGTGTAATTACAGAAAGAACAAACACGGACGTATTAATGATACTGATTTCGGCGGATTAATGAAACACGTAGAAACGTATAGGAAATTAACGTGCTGTATGATTTTCTACACAATACACCATATATCGGTCATACGCATGGCCGTAAATTGAGTGGACGTGATCCATCCAACAAATTAAGTGAATGTTTCTTTTGGACCTGAGTAACAAAATTATCGAACGTTTAATTTTAGTTCCAAACTGTGAAATTGCCTCGCGAGGTTCGCATATGTCGTGCTGAACCCACAAACAATGAATCATTTCACATGCCCGACATTGGTAACAGAAACAATAAAAACCATACATAATTGGTGGTTAATCGCAATCATTCAATGTGTTAACATCACCATCACCACAGAAGGTACGGTTTTATTATTTTACAAGCTTATTATTATTTTACCTACGGTGGTTAGAGTACGGGGTGGGCCATAACCGGACCGCGACCAGCCGGCAGCAACGAAACTTGAAATATCATATTATTTAGCGTCTGTATAAATGTAACATGATTGAAGTAGTTATTATACAAATTGATCATTTACAACATTTTTGCGCACAACTCTTCGAAATGTCGAAGAGTTGCGCGCAAGAATCGTCTCTGCTTGATGTGAAAAGTTGTGAAGTGAAATATGTTGAAACGAAAGCCACGTGCGAATCTCTGCATAGCTGTGAGCTAGGTACTTCTAGCAATACTTTCATGTAACCTAAAGTTGGTAAGTACCAAATCTAAGTCATTATAAGCAAAATCATAATTAAAAAAATAGGTGAATAAGCGATCGAGAAAGATTACGTATCGCTCGGTGAAGTGAATGGCGGAGTCACAGCCCTTGTGCGCTCGCTGCATACCATTTCAAGACAATTATACCAAAACTGCACAACTCTTAGTTATGAATTTATTTAAGTGAATTTATATAAAAGTGGACATAATGTCATATATAAATTAATTAATATTGACTGAATAAAGGATACTCTATTACTCTTTGAGTTCAAGTAATTTTCACTAGAAGCTAAATATGGTGCACCATATTAAATTTCCAGAAGCTGAAAATGGTGGATGTGGGGCCTTTAATTATCACAAGCACGGAAGAAACAATGCAAGCGATTTATGACTCGATTACTATCGGAACCGCTGTCGCCGAAATGCAACGCAAAACGCAAGAATTGAAATCTTGATAATGATCAGTCATAGCTGCTAATTTAAAAAGATGTAACAAATTCTGGATTGTTAATATTATTCGTACTTTACCCAGTTGCTGTATCGTTGAAAGTTCAATACCTTTATTATAAGTTACGGCGTTTTGATTTCATATTGAAATTTTTTTCAACGCGCTGCCAACTGCCGCCCTGTAGCCGGACTACGATGAACAATTAGTTCAGATGTTTCTGAACTAATAGAAAGTATAGCGTCTCGACAACAGATGTCTTCTTTAAAGCACGCGTTGCATAATCAAGTTTATTTCTATAAATTAAGTTTAAAATTAACAAAACTCTCATGAAGCATTTTTTCGCTAAACTTTCGTTCACCACTAGCGTAGAAAATTGAGATGTTTACTTAGTTCTTCGAAAGATCAAACTCTGGTCGAGTATTGCTCAGGGATAATGTTTACTTTCATTTGTTACAGTACTAAATATCAATTCGATAAACAGAAAATTTAAAATTTATTAAAATATGAGTTACCGAGTAAATTAAACACTACTACGGGTAATATTTTTGGTGTGGCACAATAAAGCATTTTTCTACGATTTTAGAGAATTTACGCGAAAGAATGACACAAACACACCATGCAAAGCGAACATGGCGGACTGAGCTCAAGTAGGTCTCACGAGACCGACGGAGGTACGCGTCTGACGCTAACTAACCACTACTACTGTATTTATTGTTATAACAAGCAAAATTAAGAAGTACCGCAATGACGTTACAATTTAAATTAAATGTTTTCATTTTAATTCTTAATTTTACATGTCACTACATCTGTATGGGTTAACTCTGGACAATAGTTTCGTGGTTTTTGTACTATCTTGTTTCGGCCATCTTGTTTATTTAAACTTTTTACTTCCGGCGGAAATTGGCGAAGGCCTTAAATATTTCGATAAAATGTAAATATATTTATGTCAGTGAGTCGTAACTTGCAGCTTTATATATATAATTATAATATGATAATTTTACCATGCACTTCGTTATAAATGAACCAACCTTTATTTCCCCCTGTCCTTCGGCACAGCAAGCTTGTAGATCCTTCAGTAATAGCTGGTATTTTGTTATTCTTTGCACTGGCTTGATGAGGTATGCCGCCAGCGGGTGTTCTAGCTTCTTCTTCCTCTGGACTCTGTTACGTTACAGCTTTCGTAATTATGCGCGGAATAATTTTAGTGTCATACACTTTAAATTGTTGTCTTTGTTCATTCGATTGATTGATATCATCGAGTATAAAACCAGAAATAGAGACGAAATAAAAACATACAATCCTGGTAACTCATCAACGATACATCACTTATAAATATCAACTCTCGTTTGCACTGAAATCATGAAACAGCGCCAACAACTGACCTGTGTGTATGTCTCCGTCATCGAGTACATAACCAGAAATAGAGACGAAATGTCATTTAATTTGTTTGAAAACTATTCTGCCATATCATTACTGTGACAACTGCGCTCCGATTGGCCACCCCGAGTTCGAAACAATTGACGGGTGTCGGCAACAGTTTCACTTCAAATCGACTAGTTAACTTGAGCTTTGCTAAATGGACTCTCCGTGTATTCCAAAAAATATTCTGAATTTATTGTAATAAAGATAATATCTCTAACAATGCCGTGTTGTTCTATTCGGTGGTGTAGGAAAAACAGCAAAACCTCTAATTACAAAACAAACGGGATCACATTTCATCGGTAATTAAATATTAAATATGTAATTTTGCAATTTTCATCCATTATAAGTGACACGTCCATGACAAGTTAAATTGGTCAATTTGAAGTGAAACAATTGACGACACCCATCAATTATCTCAAATCATTTATGCGTCTCGCTTCCACCTAATGCAACTCCCATTTAAGTCATCTCATTCTATTCATTAGGCACGCGTTACTAGTGCTGCACGGAAAAATCTTTCTCATATTATAAATTTATCGGTTCAAAATGGTATATTTCCGTCACTTCTCAAGTTTTCGATTGTCAAGCCGCTGTATAAAAAAGGCGACAAATAAATGTTAAATAATTATAGATCAGTGACTCTAATCATAATCCCAATTCTCGCAAAGATATTTGGGCGTATTATGTATAAAAGATTAATTGATTTTTCTGATAAATTTAATATAATCGTCAATGAACAGAATGGCTTTCGTAAGAACAGATCAACAAATCTAGCAATATTTCAATTGTTGAAAACCATACACGAATGTATTGATAAGAGGTGTAATGTATCAGCAGTTTTTACTGACATGTTGAAGGCATTTGACTGTATACATCATGACATTCGCGAGAAAGCGCTAGATTGGTTGACATCATATTTAATTGACAGGTAGCAATGTACCGAAGTGACATATTTTTGTAATAAAACGAACACCATGATCAGTAGTAGATCTGCCTACAGGAAGAATAATAGAGGCATCTCCCAAGGTAGTATTCTGGGATCACTTCTCTTTCTGTTTTACATTAACGATCTTCCAAGCTATACTAGTAAACAAAAGAGCAATACGAACATGACATTAATAAAATTATAAGTTACATCATAGGATGGATGAATGGAAATGGTCTCAGTATAAATCTAGCAAAAACTAACATCATGCAATTTCACTCGTTCAAAAGATTACCGATCGACTTAAACATTTCTTTTAATTTTGTTAACATAGAACAAGTGAAATATACAAAATTTCTGAGCCTTATCCTTGACAGCAACTGCAACTGGAAAGAACATGTCGAGAGCTTGTGTAACAAACTGTCTCGATTTATGTACCCATTGCGAAAATTAGTACAGAATGCGTCTGTGGATGCGGCTTTAACAGCTTATTTTGGGTATATACAGTCGGCTATAAACTACGGTTTAATTTTTTGGGGAAACTCTGTAGAATTTATGCAGGTATTTAAGATGCAAAAACGCTGTGTGTACGTATTATTTGCGGTGGGTCTCAAATTGATTCGTGTAAGCCATTTTTCGACAAGTGCAAAATCCTACCCTTACCCTGCCTGTATATTAAGGAGGCTGCTGCATTTGTCCAGAAACATCCGTCCTATTTTGACATCGCAAATAAAAGGAACCATAGAAATTTAAGACATGGGCAGAGAATGGTTTACTCGGACAATCATGCCTCAGCATTTTACCACAGAAGCTTTTACGTAATGTCGGTCAAGCTATACAACAGCGCCCCCAATGAATTTAAAAAATTCGAGTACATAAAATTTAAATGCTCTTAGTAACTGGTTGAGTACTAAACTTTATTATAGTGTACAAGAACTGACAAATTTGGTGACTAGCGATGTGACATGCTTATTAACAATTGTTTTTTTTTTCATATTGTAATTCCATTCAATATAATTTTAATCTGTGACATTTAATAATATTGTACACCTTATCTGGTAAACTATAGAGCACTGTAATATTTTAAGATCATACGTAATTACCTATAGTTATGCAATAAATATATTCTTATTCTTCTAATCTTATTATGTAACGATATTTGCAAGTATAATTATTACTGTATAATGATTTATTTAAACATTCGGTAAAGTAAAAAAATGTACATCTAACGTCGTCGTAGTTAAGTATTGAGCCATGAGTATAATGTATTGATTTTATAAGTATGTCAGATTATGCATAAGAAACACATATTATTACGTAACAGATTGTAGAATTGTAGGTATAATTTCGCAGATTACAGAGTTTATAGAGAATCATTCATTTTTATTGCTCAGGAAAATTGCTTTTGTTTGAGAGTACTTTTATATATCATGCAATCTTCATAAAGCTATTCAATTAAATCTTAAAACTCATTAAAATTAAAATTAATTAAATTAGTACCTGTATTTTTAGGTATCTAGTTTGTGCATATTAAATGTCATTTGGTCTTTAAACGATTGTTTAACTAAACATAGCAGTTTTTCCCTTATACCTCACCTGGCTCAAATCTATTTTAATTATTTTTATTTCTACTTCATTGCATAATAAAATCAAATTTAAGAAATAAATTAAAAAACACGGCTGTCCCTGTGCTCTTACAAAGTAATCTAAAAATTTATTTTATTTTTATTTATGTATATTTTTTGTCAGTACAAAATTTGTGTTTGACATTTTTTGATAGCCAATGCCATGCTCACTCGGAATGACTATGGATTCTAACAATACTACACAATTCGAAATCGGTTAAAACATTCAGAAGTTACACAGGAATTAATAAACGATATTTCCTTACAAATATTCACCATGAATATTTACTTGTCCAATTCTAATGTATATTTCGAATTCGGGCTGGCCAATCGGAGCGCAGTTATCATTTGTCAGAATAGTTTTCCAACAAAATAAATGACATTTCGCCTCTATTTATTTTTTGTTGTATACTCGATTATTGATATCAATAATAAAGAGGTCATTGCTCATCTAACATGAAAATACTATTATTACTGCCCAATACGACTTAAAACTGGTGTTTTAAAATAATAGGAATGATAATAATAAAAGCTTACAAACATAGAGGCTTCACCTAAATAAATATTCACTAATTGATGATATAAAAATCATCTTTTCACTTTTAAATTTAAGAGAACTGGCTGCAATGTTTATAATATAATATATGAAGCGAATTGTCAACATAGTATATGGCCCTTCCTTCTTCTGTTAGTAAGTTTTTTATTTATTAAAACTTGTTGATAGGTAGATAAATGTGTTCAATTGAATATTATAATGCAATTAATTAATATATAAATAAAAAAATTTATAAAATAAAAAACACACATAGGAGAAAAAATGCAAATACTGTGTATAGACAATCTAAACCACTACATTCAAATACACGAAAAAATTTATTCAGACTCACTATAAAAGATGTATACACAGTTTTTGCATAGTTCTTTGAAAATTAACCTTAATAGGGTACGGGAGTTGCTTATTAGGGTGTCTGTTCTTTTCTAGTTAAATTTTACCATGACCTATATCGTTTCGAAAGGACCACTGAAAAGAACACAGTTCTCGGCGGTGTTATGACAAACTGAGTTGATGGTTGTTATTATAGCAGTAAGTTTTAATAGTACGGGTGGTGTAAATGTTCACCTCTCAAAATAGTCGCCGGCGTGTTGGACGACGGCGGCGTTGCTGTCGGGCTTGTTGCGACAATACGACACGTACATGTTGAACTCGCGCGCCCACGTCACAAAGCAATGGCCAACATCTTCGGGCATCGTTTCGTATTTATCCAATTCGCGCAAGAATACACGCTCGTGGAAACGATAGATCTCTTCTATATTGCTGAATATTATTTCCTCCTACAAAAATTGTAATAGCTACAAGCATTTAACACGTATTAACAGTTTACTACAAAGAAACTAATATTGTATTACAAAATACACGACAAGAAATTGTATATAATAAATAACTATTACTTTCTTTCTTTCTTTCAAATTGTATCAATCTTAGCAATTCTCGTATACCTTTCCCTGCAACGCCGGCGGTACAGAGCCACGATCATTGCGCATCTCGCGCAAGTAGCAATTGATACACGTCTCCAGATCTTTTACGTACGCACGTTCAGTTTGTAAGAGTTCTGCCATTATGAACCTGATAAAACAAAACAATTATATAAATAAACCTTCTACGGCTTCCTACTTCACCATTTAAAGTATATTTCGACAAACTTTCCACTGAGCTCGAATACAGCCCGTTTAAAGCTGAACATCAAAAATAACAAATTTAGATTCAATCTTTTTTTTTGTATCGAAGAAGTGATAGAAAAGAGTCTAGTCCCCTGGATTTGATTTAAATCTGTTCTGCAACAAGTCCAGATAACAAACACAAAAATGTTTAATTTGTTAATTCACACCCATTTCGAATCACACCCTCTACGACACTTTTTTTTAGTATATAATAGACACACGCTTGACCACAATCTCACCTGACGTTAAGCGACGATGTGACAGACGATGGGACGCGTTTGCCTAAAAAATGCCTATTCACTGTAGCCTTGAATAGCCCCAAACTGTACTTTTCGGGAAATACAGATGCCGGTGAAATAGATTATCACCATTATTATCTTTCATTGCCTGTTTCACTTACTCTTTTCTTCTTGCACTACGTCGCTTGTCGTCACCGGCGGTAGTGGGTTGGGTCTCAGTTCGCGTGTCTCCGTCAACTGAGTGGGAGGAAGCTAGAGATGGTGCAACGCCAGAATCGCTTTCAGCTTCACTTTCCACGGCTTCTATGGAACCGCTAAATTCTGCATATCTGTTGTGTGAAAAAGAACAATATGATCTGTGTGTAAATTTAGAAACGTCATGACTAGGTCTTTCAATAAGGTTTTGTTCATTTATTTTTTCAAAAGTATACAGTTTACAAAAGACTAACTATCGTTAAATTGGAACTGTTTGTTGACGAGTGCTACACCAGGTTGTATTCCCGGGCCGGGAGATAAACTTGTATGGCCTACACTTATTTCTCTCGTGAGTTTGGGTGTGTATTGTGGTTGTCTATGTGTGTGTCCATGGCACCAGTGACATAGGGTTTCCCTAGTGTGGGGCTATGTTGAGTGTATTCGGTATTATTATTATTATATATACGACAATAGCCGGCGCCCGCGATTTCGCCTGCGTAGAGTGAGTACTTCGAGATGCCTACTGTACTAATTATTTGAGAAATGATTGGTTCTTCATGCAAACTTTCATCCCCTATTTCACCCTCATTAATATTTATTTTTGAGACAAAAAGCAGCCAATGTCCTCCCAGGTACCGTAATATCTGAATACCAAAATTCATCAAATTTAGTTTAGCAGTTCAGGTGTGAAAACGTAACGGACAGAGCTCTTTCGCGTTTGTAACATTAGTTTGAATTCATGATGCAGTACAGTACGGATCAGGACGAACACACAGCGACCACTTCTTTAGTTTTCTGTTGGGAATTACTAGACTGAGGATAATAATTTCCAGAAATATTGCAAACACGCAAGTAAAGCTTAGTGTGGGTCTTTCTGACCAACAGCAATAAATTACGGAGAGGATGTTGTGTGTGAGTTTGCAAATGAGCTCAACAAGTTTGATGCCATTCGATACTTACCTGGCGTCGACGGCGGCTACCCATTCCTTGATCTGAACGGCGTGCGGGTGTCCCTTCTCGACGAGGCCGTCGGCCAGTTGCGCGAGCAGGCGCACGCGCTCGCGGCTCTCCCGCGCGACGCCCGCCGCGGCCGCCGCCGCCGCCGCCCCGCAGCGCTCCTGCGTCTCCCGGATCCATTCCACGGCCGCGCGAGCCGAGCGTTCGAAAAGAGCGAACTGCTGGCACTGCTCTAAACGTTTCTTGCGCACCGTCCAGTGTTCGAGGACCTGTTAAAACGCACCGCGATCAAACAAACCGACACGGAAAATAAACAACGACATTCTGCCAATTCGGCATATAGTACTTTTAAAGCATTCTCGTAAACTGGAACTCGAATCGATCAACGACCGCAATTAAATAACAACAAAATAAAGCGGGCCGTCCGTGACCCGCAGATTATCCACGACTAGAACGCGAAAGTACCGGCCGGACGACGAACACAACGACGCTCCGGATCATGTCGGAACACAACGTGCACAAATGCACGAGGCACGGAATTCGACAGCGAGTGAAGGCAAATCTCATGGTGGTATCGCGGGACGGGCCCTGATATCATCGCACAGCTCGATACAAAAGCCCCATTGTTCTATGTCGCCGTCGACACTGACACTGACAATGCAGCAAAACTACTAACGAGCTAAAAATAACGAGAGAGACGTTCGCGTTTGTTATGACAAGTACTGACGCTTAACATAATCGGAATTTCCAGTAGGCAAACAAACAAACAAACAATGAAACAGTCACAGTTACTTATAAAGAATCGTGTACACTGTTGATCGATTCAAAGGGAACTCGGATAAACAAAACACAACAAACATATTTAAACAATAGACATCTTTCCCATTTACAAACATCGGAAGTTGCAATTTCCGTCGAACCTTGTTCTCCTGTGCCAATAACGTGTCCAGTATAGCTCTCGTTTGTTCATGATGTGCCTTGCTAGCAGCCGCGGTCTGCCCGTGCACTTGGGCGGAGCGCGCTGCGTACTTAAGGAAAGTCTCGGCAGTGCGCCGCGCCAGAGTGCAAGCCTTCAAGAATGCCTCCTTCTGTTCGCCATGCTTCATTATAAGAGCAGCCACCTGCGGACAGCCATTTCATGAGCACCCGATATGCACGCCTCGGTTAGACGTCCACCTTTCACCGAAGACATTACGATACCTGAGCAGCTTTGTCGACACATTGCAACGGAGTCGGCTCATCGCTTACCGGCGCTACCGATGAACCGCACCAGTCCTCGTCTCGACGATATTCCCTCTCTAACGAATCCAGAACGGAGCAAACCTGTTCGGCGGTTTTGTAAAAGTTGAGCGAGGCGGTGACTAGCTTGTGACGCTCTTCGGCACAGGTCACGAGTCGTTGCCACCGTTCCGTCACTTCCTCGGATATTTCCCTTATAGTATGCGGGTCGTAGTGATTAGCGGCCCTCAGAGCGTCAGCCCTGTATTTGACTTGTACCGCGCTGGCGTGTGTCTTTTCGACAGCCACTTGGAACTGGTCGTGTTCACGCTTCAGTTGCTCCGCTTCAGAAAGGGTGCTAGGTATCGAGAACGACGCCGCCAACATAGCTTCTCCGTTACGAATCCAGCTCACGACTTGAGCGGCATCTTTTTGGAACTGACCTGTGACAGAGGAAAGACAATTTAGACGAGTATACAAGAAAACATGACGTGCTGGCATTGGCAGCAGATGGATTAAATAATAACAAACCGAGCTGCACGCATTGCTCGAACCGAGCGCGCCTCTCTTCCGCCAGTTCCTCCAAATCGAGTTGTCTGTCGTGCAAGAATTCAAGTAAAAGTTGCACACGCGCTTGCGCGTCGAGCGGCGCGGGCTCGGAGCTGTCGGAACCGCTCGACGCCATCACGTCCGAAGCTTCTGCAATGGCTGCAGCTAATTCCTGGCCTTGCTGAACAACCTGCAGAAGCATTTACTATTAATTACAAAAGAAAATAATCTTTGTTTCGTAAATCATAAATAACGACATGGGACTTAAACATTTTCATTGAAACCTAAACGTGCCGGTCCAAGGTAAATTGTGTTACCGACATGTATAAATGAATTGCAGGTAGGGAATAAATATATTGTAATGTCACCTGGTAGGTGGCATGTTGCATTCGAGCTACGCTTTCGTTGTGGGCGGCAAGTGCCTGCTCCGCCTGCTGCGGGTCTCGTGGCGGCTCCGTTCGTTGCAGCTCATCGCCCCATAGCTCCAAACGTGATGACACCTGGAAATTATTTCATTTTTTTGTTTTCAATTGTTGTCATTTTCTTTATATGTATACGCAACAACAGTTATTTTTTTCTCTCGCATAACAAATATACGTCGTCTGTTCATAAGTTTTGAGACAAACTTTTTAGGCATTTCGAATGTTTGTGTTGCAAGAATCAGAAAGCACTACACCCAAATCCAAGTCGAACCTAAAAGAAATTCGTTATAGTCTGCATAACATTGCGCGTGTTACAGTCACCAGAATACTGAAAAAAGATCTTACACAATCGTAAGAAAATTCACTTAATAATGGCCTTTGTAAATTACGATGCGAACATTGTCTGATGCTGCTTAAACCGTTTGTTGACGTGTGTTTGACATTAATTACAAAAGTGCAATAAAAACTATTAATATATACATGAAATGATTTGTGTGTGGGGAACATCTCAACATTGACTGAGCGGCAGATCTTTGCAAACACATTTATTGTAATTGCGCTTGTTACGCAAACTTACTACTTAGTAACATTATAAAGCTGAATTTGTAATTATACAATAGTAGATATTACTCTACTGTTAATATTTGTATCTCAGCTGCGCGCAACACGCTAGACCATAAGAGTAATCTTAAATGTGTAAACTGTATTTACCGTGTGTGTGTTTACTCTTCAACCGACAAAACAATAAATTTTATGCCAACAGCAGCAAAGACGGTCCAGGTTCCGCACGAAATTTCGCGTACCTATCATTCGGCGAGTGTGATGGTATGATGGGGGGTTTCGTACGAAGGTGTCACTCCGCTCCATGTTATTTATTTATTTATTTATTTATTTATTTTAGGAAGGTTTACAGCTATTAATACAAAATATAAAATACAAACTAAACAACATCAAAGAGCCTATTACAAACCTCCACTTATGCATATCAAAAATAGCAAATTAAGAGCTTTATTTATAGTTTACTATTTATACAGACCAAAGAAAAGAAAAGAAAAACCGGAAAACCAACAAGTTTGCCAACAAGTCGTTAAGGTGAAAGCAAAAAATTATCAAAGTGACCTTTTAAAGACTGTGATCCAGTGTATGCGACTTGGCTACCTACACATTGTCTCGTGTGTCCATGCGTGGGTACACCCAGTCAGTATAGTGAGAGCCGTTCGCGAGAGTGGTCGAGGCGTTACGTCATGCATTGCATTACCGAGCTAGTGTTCTCAGGGACAGAAGCAAACGTGATACATCAATAGATGCCTCGCCAGCTGAGTCAGTCTGCGGAAGCAAAGGAACATTGCCACCATGGCCTAGGTCACAAGAACTGAAGAAGTATGGAGCTATTTAGAAAAAACCGTATTCAACAATAAAGCACTGTTTCGCGAAAATCAGCCCATCATAGAGAAAGGTCGATGCATGCTTCGGGATAGCGGTCAGAGGAAGCAGTTCCGAGCAGAGGCTGTAAATTCAGCAGTCTAGTCAAAGCACCGCACTCCCAGTGAAGCGGAGCTCTGATAATTCTAAATAACTGAAATTCCTACAAACAACCCGAAAATAAGCAAATCTCCATATGATTCAGCGGAGGTCACTTTTTTTTATAATGCCAAGTGACGGAACGAATAAGTGACGGCGTCTGGCGTTAAGCGACACGCCTGTCCGTAACAGTTGCAGTGCCACTCAGAGCTTTAAATCGCAAAGATCTTATCGGCATTGCCACTGCGCCCGTCATCCTGAGACATAAATCGACAAGTTCCATGTTCCTGTAATTTCACCAGCACCTTTACCCTTCAAAACCGAAACTTACTCCTCAGAAGACTTAAAGCTGGATGATTACTCCCAGATCTCGACTGATGTCCATAAGATGATTGCAGAGTAGTCATGTCTAGCACATAATTTGTGCACTGAAGCAAGGGATCCTGAGACACAGCAGGAGGTATTGACAAATGGAAAGCTATAGCGGCAGACGCGTACAAATATTTCCGTGACAAGTGCAAGTGGACCGCTAGGTAGGTAGAAACTCAGTGTTAATGACGAAATCCTGAGCAACAGAGCTCACCTATGGGATGGGATTATGGAAATTCATGCAAAAGTTATTTCGGGCAAATGTATTTTCGATCTTCTGATTCGTAACCTCGAGCCGTAGAAAGAGTACAACAACATTTGAAAGTATTACTAACATGTATTAAAAAATATTTTAGTAATAACATTAGCATCAAAGCGACTCTATGAAATTTTGGTTCTAAATATTTGAAACGCTTGTGTTTCAAACAATTTAAATTGACGTGATGGGTCTCGTTCAGTCTTTTACGCAAGCAATGAGTCGGAAAGAGACAGTTAGCTATTTGATTATTTTGATTGCTTTTGTAATTTATATGTACGATTAATTTAAATATAAATTAAACACTATGCCGGGTGGAACAGAACGACCGACAAAGCGGAAAACTGTGAAGAGTCTTAAATATGTACTTAATTGTACTGAAAGTCTTTTTGCTCTAAGTGTAATAGTTTCCGAGTTATTCAATGATAAAGATTTGCTTGAAAAGTCTGTATTGTCAACCCTACATCATAAAACACAGCTGTTTGGAGGCAACTACCGGGATGTACTCAGGGCAAAAACTTTGTAATTTAGTAGATCGTTGACCTCCGTCGTTGATCAGCACCCCATCAGTCGCTTTCTTTCATCAACCACTCTCTTTGATCAGTCATCATGTGAATGATGATTAATTACGCGGGTATTTTATTGTATTACTTTGAGAGTAATTAACACCCCTAAATTGCGTGTTTGACGACCCAATATTCACCGAAAAAATGCACCTCTCATAGAATCTTCGGGAAACATGTTGTTTCTAAACCTTTGTAGGTAGTTTATGACAACGCATAGTTGACAGGGTCATTTAGACTTCACTTTTCTTAAGTTGTTGTCAACTTAAGAAAAGTGAAGTTTTCTAAATGACCCTATCAGGAGTTTAACTCATATTGCCTGCGTCATAAGATAAGACTAACTTAAACAAACATAATTCAATTAAGTAAACACGTTCTACAACATGCGTCAAGTACTCAAATTACAATAGTCTCGTAACCCTTAATCCGGCCCTAACGTAAAATAGTAAATTGAGGCAGCCAATCACGTCACTTAGAAATTTAGAGATGGACACTTGATAACTGTTATCTGTTTTTGCTAGCATAATCGGGAGATCGTTTTTTTTTGTAATAGTCTATTTATGAATGCATTTGGAAATAGTTTTAATTTACACTACAAGAATTTACTAACTTTAAAACGAAGAGTTCATTCTATTGATATCAACATTTAAAACTAAAATTTCTGTTAACTTGAGCTGTGTAGTTGAAATTTTAATAAATGTAATGTAAAAATAAATAAATCGGAGGATCGTAGAGGTCTGCAGACCACCTCCACGTTTCGCTTTCTTATTATTGATTAAATTCGATTATTTATTACAATTTTAAACGACCTGCATTTACTTTACTTTTACTTTTGAATTGCTCATGGTACTTATACCAGACAATACGATTATTGCGAAAGTTATTTCTTTATCATAATTGTCTTTTTGAAATTAACATTTAGATATTTAATAATCAATGATATCCGACGCGTACGCCGCCGCCGCGCGCATCTCTATGCAGAGTTGCCAATTAAGCGACTTTGTCCCTTTATGTGATGATTTGAAATCAAAAGCGTCTTTTATTTCTAGCGACAAAAAAAAATTGGTATTTTTTGGCGCGTATTTAATTAGGTTTAATCGTTTATAATTTAATATTATTTTTATCTTAGTATTCAGGAGTCTTTTACCTGTACTGGGACCATTCTGTTTAGTGATATTTGCTTTAGTCTAGTTGGTAACACTTTTTCATTCATAAATTAGTTCAAAATGCCTGGTTGTATGGTAACTCGTGGTCTCATGTTTTTCTCGTGTTTACAACAAAAAAACAACGTTTACTTGTTAGTTTTTGGGTTGTGACAGCAACTTATTGGAATAATGCCGTTATTAAGTAGTGCTGGTGTTAAGCAAGTAAAATGTATTAGTGTGTTTGCGTGGAAAACCATATCGGCGTATGACCGGCACACCCAGGAATGTGTCTGGGATGTCTGCAAGAGTAAAGGGGACCTGGACAAATCGAACATCCTTTTAATTTAAAGTAAGTTCAATGTTTTTTAATTACCTATTCAAGTGAGAGCACTTATTTCTTCTGCGAGTGGCAATGACACGAACGCCGCCTGTGGGGCAGTAGATGTACTAACACGATTGATTCGCTTAGGGTTGTTGCACCGCGAAAGTTTTAAATCTGGACGAATATTTTTCAACTGCTCTGATTTTACATTTAAAGTAAATAAAACTCATGTATGTTGGGTTCTCAACGTGATATTTTCGGCTTTGTCGGTCGTTCCGTTCCACCCTGTATATATTAGTGCATAAAATAACACTTTTAAATGATAACTATGATAACACAATGTAGTACTTACTGAAAATATGATATACCACCCTGTTTTTTTCACTTTAGTTGAGTAATTTTTACAAGGTTTTACAATACGGGATCATTCGCGCGCTGTCAGTCGAACAAACGAAGACTAAAGCGTGATTGACGCCATGTATACGATTTTAACGCCCTGTAAGTTCGGACACTTTTTAGCGCGGACTCGATGTCCATTTATTTGTAAGTCAATGCTTATTACCTTCTTTATTCTTATTTTGACAATTGGCTTACTAGTATCGAAATAAATTGTTTTTCATATTCATTTCAATAAGAACAGACCGATATGAATAAAATTATAATAAATATACCTATATAGAATTAAAATGAAAAACGTAAAATTTTTAAAATGTCTCCTAGACATAAATGTAACGCATATACATATAAACTAACAAAAATGAACAATTGAAAGTAACCCGTGCCCAGCAGTTGAAAGAATAATGGGACGATCATGACTCAAATGAAACATGTTCGGCTATTTAAGCGTGAATAACATACAGTCGATGTTCGATAAAATATTTAGCACAGTGCTTCCCGCCTGCAATCACTAGCTGCTTGCAAGCGGGAAACACTTTTGCGCTATTGACTGTCATTTTAAAGACTATAGAAATATGTACAATGCAAAATACTAGGAGAAATTCTCACCTGCAGCCAGATATTACCATATACATCGAACAACCATACAAGGGAAAGAAGATAATCTACAGGTTCTGGGGTAAAAATATAAATGGAGTACTGTGTAACGTTGTGCTGTTTTAGGCGCTTATCCTCAGAGCCTAATGTGTCACTATAATGATGGACACAGCTTTATATATACAATGGCATTGTTTTCTTTTCTCGGCTAGGATTCAAGAGAAAGTCAAAATGAAGGACAAGCTTAACGAAGTTTGACACAAGAGATTATATAAATATAGAAAAATAGTTTCATTTCCAATGTGTAACAATCGCGAAAACCTAAGAACTCAATAAGAAATTAACTGATTAAAAACGACTATCCCTTAGTATCCTTAACTGTACCTTAGAATTAAAACCGCTAGTTGTGCAATGCGCAACGGAAAGTGAGCGCGCCTACAGTTCCGGTACCAATCTATAGAAAATAGGGAGGGTACTTTACGTGCACCCGGGGCGGTTCAACCGAGGCACTAGCCTCTCGAGGAACCGGATGAAGTCAAGTGACAGAGGTCTGTGACAACCCTGACTGATCTCGGGTCACAACCTGAACTTATAAGCTTCCTGTGCGCGCCCTTGTGAGTACCCTTCTCGTATGCTCTCAGGGTTTGTAGGGACGGTCACTATAATCAAAACTAATGTAGAAAGATATGGGGCTGTGCCTTAGAATAGGTTATTTTATAATACGTTAATTTGCCAGAATACAGTATAGTACAGTATGAGGAATGCTGACAATAAGGTGATTACACAAAACAAGTTTGGAGGAATAACTATATTCATATCTATCGCACGTCAAACCATTTTAAAGTTAATATTGAATTATTTTTTTATTACTTGCTTATTTCTTTACCCTACCGTACTATCAATTGTATACCAAACCCGTCAAAAAAATTGATATCAATGAAGCTTGTTATCAGAAATGCCACGGTTGACTTTTAAGTAAGAATTTCATTGTGCGCGAGTCAATACACCGTGATGTGTTATGGGCGATGGTGTACAAAATGTTGCTGGACCACTGCCAACACTTTTGCATAAGACAATGGCGAGACATTTTTATATTTTTATTGCAAGTTGACTGATTTATACACGTTATTGTTTTTTATTTATTTATTACGTTTACCAACATCTGTGTACAACATTACTTATATCTTATCATACCTTAACAAGGTGTGACAAGGTTTTTATTCTAATTGCCACAAACGCATAGAGGTAAACACAACATGCACTAAAACATAACATGTTTCACTAACATTTAAAAAAACGAACACTTACAATTTTGACAAATAACAATATGATTGCAAATTGATGCGTACACTACTTTTACGTAATAAATAATTTGACTGAACTTAAGAAATTAAAATTTTTAACAGGTCCTGAAAGGAGGACAACCGTGGGGAATATCACTTATGTCACTGTAATTATTTACCGTCTTAAACAACCTTGCAACTGGTGAATATGAACCAAATACGGTTTTGCGAAATGGAAACCTAAATGGAGTAATTTTGTTACGAAGATACCTTATGGGAACACGCAATTTGAATTTTTTAAACAGCTGAGAGCAGTCACCTCGCCGATCACTTCATGATAAAACATTTTTGACACCATTGACATCTCATAGGCAGTTCTTCGATTATCCAAAAACATAGTATCGAAATGTAATAAACGCTGGTACGGTGCGAGTTTTTTCTTGGAGATGCCACACGAGCACATTAAGTGCCAAATAAATATTTTTTGTACACGTTCTAAACGCAAAGAGTATGGTCTCCTAATGTCACTGCGGTCCTCAAAAGTTCTACGTACTAAACTACTATTACATTCGAAAACTTTTAATATAACGCAGTAGAAATCGCAACATTTGCGAGGCCTTACTCACCATATTATCAATACAATTCAACAAGCGTTAATTTGTTGTCAAAATGAATGCCTCAATCTCTCCTCCTGAATCCTCAATTGGAGTCTCAATCAATCTCGACATCACTTACGTGGTATTACGTGGTTAGGAACGAAATTGCGCTTTTATTTTTATTTATTTTATTTTTTTATTTGTTGTTATAAATGTCTTTTTGTCTTTTCCACAACAAATCACAGTGCAATATATATCGCATTAACTTTATAATTGTAGGATACGCAGACAATAGTAATTGTGATACAGCCTAAAGACTGCAATGAGGAACTCGTACCTAGTACCAAATGTGACAAAGGCCAGCCGGCCTTTTGGATCGTCAAACAAGCACATACAAAAAATACAGACCTCAAGCGCATCTCTTTCAAAGTGTCGCAACCGCAGAGTGAGTTCGAGCCGTCGTTCGCGGTCTGACCACAGCTCCTCGAGGGCTCCACGGGTGCCGCGCAGCCGCTCCAAGGTAGTCTCCACCGCTGCCGTGCTCGTCGCGTCGGAATCGCCAGACGATCTGCGATGTTCATTACGAACGTAAATAAATGCACTTCGTCGCACGCGTCCACAATCGTAATGTATTAATGAAAATGTAAAATACGAATTTTGGTCCGCCACTTTAGACTTTATTTTTAGGCAACTTATTTCGAAACTATTTATCATGAGCACTGCCAAATGACTGCCAGGAATTTGTCATAATTTCAGACATAACCTACAAAACGCCATTTGAGCAAACCAATGACTTGCTGAACGGGTTTATTGCCCCAGCACTGACCATCCTCGCCCAGACAATTCATTCATAAAATTATAGCTCACTTCCATTTTGGAAACTTTATAGAATTCCAATTCCAATCCAATTAATTATTTTGTATTTGCATTGCGTATTCCTGCAGCTAAATAATATTGGTATCGAAGGCCAACGTAATTTACCTCCATCGTAAACATTGCACTGGAGACTTATGTCTGTGTGACCGGCGGTGATATTTGAGCATTTTGCACAAAAATGTTCATTTCACCTCCCTACCATCAATTGTCTCTCGCCATGTGTCGTTAGTCACTGCACTGTCACTGCAAACACTTACATATCACAATTTACACACGAGTGGAGGTTATGAAGGGGAGCAGTTACGCGAAGATGGCGATTAAGAGCCGACACTGGCCTACAAAAGCGGCGCCTACTGTTATGTTACGGTTGGATAGTAAATCTCTTATACACTCGTATAAGACGCTGATTTCATCTCCCACCGCTTTCGTTAAACAATTCACGCTATGTAGTCCACAATATCCCACAATTGTGGTATATGTTATATTGATTTAACGAGGCGATAAAATTCTTTCCGGCGGTAGCCAAAAGGCTTTGCAGTGTTAGTTTCAAGTGAAAATAAAAATATTTGTTTCGTAAGTGTGCGGACACGGGAGCGGGGGCGCAATATCCCGTCATTGTGCGCGAAGGCAACTAACGGTGGCTATGATAAATCAGTCTACAATGACAATTTCATCATATCTAAACACAAAGTACCATACATTGTAACTGTTTGGTGTGTAAAGTAGAAGATTAGGGTGCTAAATTAAAAAACATTCCCATATTTCAGGTTTCTGTACATTAAATACCCTATCTCATATTTAGCTCTTAATACTAGTTTAATGTGAATTTTAACAAAATACATCTTAAGACTTCTTAACCTCGGTACTCTCTTCAGTAGCATATATTAATATATAGTGCAAAAGAATGAAAGTGTGTATGTCATGTCAATTTGATATCGGTTTCAAACCCAAGCGCCCCGTTGGCAATGCAACGAGTCTGTCACAATCTAAAATTAATATCTCACTTTTCACTTAGTGAAAATGTTATCAAACTATGCGAGGTAGGTAGGAGGTAGAACATTTAAGAGTATTTGATTGTTACAATCCACCATCATAAATTGGCCACTATAATGACGGGAGGGTGAAGACCGCGTAATGGGAAGTTCGAAGTTTGAACCGATTTGTCTATCAAATCCTTGTTCTCTTGTATTTATCATAGATACATTACTTATGGTATTTATTGAAATTTTCGTTTATATTTCATATTTTTAATTTACTTCTTCTTTTTAAGCTCATCTTTTATCAACATTTACGTTGTTTTTGTAAGCTGTGTTCACTAATGATGAATTTATTGTATATAATATTATAATAACTGTAAGTGAACCAATAAATGAAAAACTAAAAAGCATCAAATGAGACTAAAGAGCTTTTGAATTCTTCACGCCAATTATTTTATTATCGGTCTACCAAATAAATGACTCCACGCAATAAATACCTTCTTATCTATATTTAATAATTATTGAAAGATAAATATAAAATAAAATTAGAATTTGCGTATTTACTATTCTGCTTATTCAACGCTTTGTGATTGCCGGCATAATTAATTAATCGGATGTCAAAAAAGTGAAGTTAGGTTAATTGAAAGTACGTGTAGAAAAAGATGCTGAGCTATGAATTCTCTTGATTCAAAAGAGCGCAATTCGCAGTTCAAAGGACATGACACGTGTACAATATAATTCCAGGCGACGGGGAAGCATTACAGATGTAGTGCTCAACTGCGTAACGTGATTGGCTAATCAATTATGGAAGCTATTCAAAAACCGTCGATACATAGAGGAGATGCGAACATTCCGTTGCCGACGACGGTTTCTAGTGTCGCTCGAGCGAGGCGCATTCCTCACGCGTCGGCAGCCAATCGGAACCGAGAGATATCTATGCACGCTGCAGCCTCAGTCGCACTAGATGCATGTTAGCACTTCCTTAGTACATTTGGTACAAGGGGAAGTAATAAAATAGAGTCGCATCGAACGATATTACCTTATCAGTAAAATCCCACTAATAAAATCTAAGATTAATTAATCTTGCATTTTGACTGGTACTGTCATTTATGGTGTGGTATGGTGTGATACGGTGTTGATGTGCGGCCACTTTCATATTGCGAAAAATAAATCAGTTCTATAGTAAATGTTAATCCAACTCGATACGAAGGTCACCGTAGTAAAAGTCGTTTGGCTTCAAGTATCAACTGGACATTAAAAGGATGTCAACCAGTAAATTAGGATCTAACTTAAACTTTTATTATAAAATGAACAATCCGTACATGCGGGAGAAGTCCACAGTCAAGTAGCTCGTTCAAGTTTATTACCAACGAACTCGTAAAAATTCAGCGGACGGCACAAACATGTGCCCGCAAGGAAAGGACTCCCTGGCCGTTGAACAATTAGGGCTCAGTGGCCCTTTTATCGCTCGTTAAATGCATCCATCGACGGACATTTTATATCCGGTTTTATAGTGCATGCAGACCGAGCGCACGTCGGCTTAAAAGATATCTGGCGCCGGCCTCATATTTATTCGGCTCTTGATGTACTTTTAAACTTGAGTAGTAAATAGGACAGGAACAGGATAACCACTCGAACATAACATTTTGGTTGCGTTGACCGCGCCTTGTGTCAATGGGAAAGCTTCAAATGTCAGTTGTGTACTTGCATTTGAAACGAAACATGTACAAGCCCAAGGTTAAACTAAAGCTAGAAAATTGATCGCCCAATTGGACTCGTAATATGTGTACTTTGTCCGCTCCTTCGGAGGTTCTGTATTCGCATGGAAAGTGTATTGTGGCTTACGTCAATGCCACTCGATGCTAATCAACCGACATTGAGGACGGCAATGTTCTAAGTCAAATTAACAGTAACGAATGCAGCCCACCGGCCCACGAGTGCGTTTTCAAATGCGTAGTGCAAATATTATTAACATAAATTAACGATACGTTTAAGTTTTGTACCATAACGTTGATTTAGGCAGGTTCCAAATTGCTTCATATCATCTGCTACTTCACAGTATGTGCAAAGTAAAGGAAATCAGCAGTGGTGGCATTAGGCTCAAAGCGGCGACGTAGCGCGAACGCTGATGAACCACCAACTTTCACACAGTGTTGACTATATAAATAGCGTGACTAACAAACAACCGCCATACCAGTGGCTTACGGGTTTAAACGCGAAGCGATCAACATGCAAGAAAATACACGCACGAAAGCAGTAGAGCTCCTTGTGTAAGAATTCATCCAGGGTGGTACTGCCACCTTACCTGTTTCTGCCGCCAAGCAGTAATGTGAACATTACTGTGTTTCGGTTTTGAAGGGTAAGGGTGCTGATGAAATTACAGGCACATGGGACTTGTCAACTTATGTCTCAGGGTGACGAGCGCAGTGGTAGTGCGTCTCCGATCTTTGCAATTTAAAGCTCTGAGTGGCACTGTAACTGTTATAGACAGGCATATAGCTTACCATCAGGCGCACGACTTGTTCGTCCCGTCACTTGATGTTATAAAAAATATGTGATTTGCAATCCAACCGACTTAAGAATTCTTCACAAGTGACACAATGTCTGTAGAGGGAATGCAAAATTGTGAAATTGTATAGGTAAAATTGCACTACAGAACATTAGTGTCAGTCAATACACTAACTATAGAAAAGAGTAAGAATATAATTCTCATCATTGTATGTAAGTGTTACGCCGTGGGCACAAGATTCATACGTTTGATGGCAACATTGATGTAGATGTGGTTTCTCTTTAGCGTAAGAAACTTCACGAGCAGAATTACGCGCAAGACAATAGTTTCGCGTTGATATTAGAAGAACGGAACTACAACCAATACCTATATAATGGAAATTAACCGTTTGTCAAAGCGAACCAAGACGCGTAGGAAGACAAAACCGACAAGCCGTGTATAACCTTCTGTCAGACTCAATTCTACAATATACGAATATGATCTCACATGTACGCGACACTACGTAGACATCATTCGCATTGCAAAGAGGGGCGACAGCACAATACGAAAATTTGTGCGTCACTTGCCAAGTCGATGCGCGTTGGAGTACTAGGTAACATAACAGGAACTAACCATTCCAATTAATCATAGCAATTTATTTTAAAAGGTTCTATGTGAATGTTTGGCAATTAGTTGAATGACGAAGGGCGACCGAACTGGGGGCACGCAACAAAAGCTTGACTGTACACACGTTCACGCGGTAATTGACAAGAGCTCCGAATAATTCGAGTATTTAATGAAGAGCTCGACTATTTCGCCTTTCACATTACGTCGATATAGAGATGTAGCGCCCTACTCGACCAGTAAACTGGGACTATCGACAATCCGACAATCCATGAGTTTTATTGACTTTATTACATTCAGAGGTCAAGTCAAATTATGAAGAGGCTAAAATTATGTTGGGGTTCGACCGCGACGGAGAATTATACAAATAGCGCGAACAACGCTGCAACCGGGTGTTAGTGAACCGAAATGATGAAACAAAAGAATCGTGGGAGAAGTCGCTTGTTCTGACCTATTGGTTTTAAATTAAACAAAATCGCAATCCTTTAGATTGAAAATAACCATCGCTAGATTTAGCCCACGCGCATCGACAGTGCATTCGTTTCAATATAAAAGTCGTAAAACAAAATGAGGTCGTTCTAATGATAGAAAGGCCTCTCTGAG